TTTAATTTGCTGTCACTTTCACTAACATTTACCTAACACCAAACAGTCTGGACGACACTCTCTCCCTGCTGAAATTAAAGACAAATAAAAACCTCTACAATTAGCTTCAGCAGGACCAGAATTTGCACTTCTAATCTCCCCAAGGTCTAGCAGTCCAGGGAACTGAAGTACAGAAAAACAGCTGGGTCTGTACATGCTGGGACTTTGCTGAACCCAGAAAACAGCATGGTCAGGCTTACCCTTCTTATCTCTTTGTCTTTTTATTTTCCTCCTTTTTCTTTTGCTCTTTAATTCCATACTTCCTGCCTATGACTTTTCCCATCTCAGGTCAGTTGGTTCATCCCTGTCCATTTTTCCTCCCCCACATCTGAAACAGCTTTTCCACAAACTGAAACACTCAGCTGTTATTGACAACAGACACTGTTTCTGCCAAGAATTAGGTTTTTTTTTTTTTCCTTTTGTTTCATTCCCTCTCTTCTATTTATCCGCCCAGGGTCTTTTCTGTTTTGCTTGTCTCCTTTCCTGTCTGGCATCCTATTCGTACACTTTTCTCCCTTCAAAACTGTTCTTCTCTCCCCTTTTCACTCATTTGTACTTCTCTGCTTCCACTACTTACACCCTGTTTCTCCCCTGGGGTATCTCAATTCCTTTCTTTCTCTGCATTTTCCCCTTTCTCCCAGCTTTAGTCTCCTCACTCCCCTCTGCCTTAGGGTACCTGATGCAGCTGCACAGACATCTAACTGCTGCTCTGCCGGCAAATCTGGGAAGGAGCTGACCACCCCAAACTGCCACTGGTGCCAAGAGAAGCTGCGTGTGTCCTGCAGCCGACAAACACCTCCCAGGCAGTAAGGGGCTGCCTCTTCCCACCCAGCCTACCTTCTCATGTCTGTCTGGAACAGAAGTCACTGCAAATACTTACGGGCGAGCAAAACCATAAAATCATGGCAATGTTCTATAAAAAGGCAACAATATTTTGGTAAAACGTTTAATAATAAGCCCCATAATTTGAATATTTTTTCTATAATGCTCCATTCTCTGTCTACAGCTATATTGTGCATTAGCACAAGCAAAATTAAAGTTAAAAGCTAGGCGTTTCATAGCAATGATGTGTTTTTAACCATTTTCACTGTTGCAAGTAAACATGGAAGCAATAATAATTCTCACTCGCTCACTGATCTTAAAATGTGAAATTCTTTCCAGAATCATGGTAATGCTCTAACCCAGAACTTTTTAAAAATTGAAAACACATACCATGTATTATATAAAATATATTGTATTACACAATAAAGCACAGAGACATTTTAGTCAACTCAATACTCTAGCAAAGTCGCAAGAGTCAAATAAATAATGGGAAGACAAGCATTCCTCTATCTAAATGCGTTTTCTTCCCAGAACTACAGAAAACATGACACAGCACAGAGTTACCTGTGTCTCTCCGGGACAGACAAACACCTTTTACGACTAAAGTTCAGGGTCACTATAATGGAGCCAACCTGTTCCACGCTGAAAGTAAGTGGGATTTTTCCTACTGATGTCAAAACTGACTATGCCTCGAGAGCCTTTAATAGTGGCTTGTGTGTGGACGCCCTACTGTAGGTGAGGATCAGAGAGGCCAGAAAGGTCCAGCACTAACCTGGAAAAGGGAGATCAAAGTCAACAGAATTACTAACTTTGCTTAGTTGAGCACCTGATTAAATGCCAGATCAGAGCCAAGACACCCGCCCCCTGTGGTAAAGTCCTAAGCCTCAGACTGGTTCTCAAGTCAAGAAAGTAATTCCTCAAGTTTTTAAAAGATGATCATTTAGTTGTTGTACTTTGAAAAACCATTTTGCAAAAATGCATGAGGGCATTCAAGCGTTACCTTCTCTCAGGAAATTTCATGAAAAAAAAAGTTTGCTCTCCCTGCAGGTAAACAGTATTTTTCACTGCAGCACAAAAGACAACCCAGGTACCTACTAGCCCCAGCATCACCTGCACTGCAGAATCTGCATTTGTAGCACAAACTTTATAAATAACTCTGCTCATAGTGCACAGACTGGCTCTAACAATCCAAAATTGCTTTCCTCCAGCCCTGACAACAGCAAAAACTTGAGTTTGTCTGAAAAGCGAGCACCTGTGATTTACCACATAAAGAACAAACTTAAAGAAACAACCAGTGCTATTTTTACAGTTACATTTTACAGGAGAATCAACACATTTTGAGCTTCCCATTAGACTTGTTTTGTTTAAGCAATTTAAGTAGCCCGGACTCCAAAGTACTCCAAAGTGGTAATGCACATATGGATATGTACGCACATATGTGTACATACTTTCTTTAAGTAGCGTGTTACAAAAAAAAGTATGTTCTTCTTAAAAATGCAGAAAGGTTACTGGCAAGTTCTAATTCTGAGAGCAATTCTCCTAACTTCTTCACTACACAGTAACCAGGTGGCTATGGCACTGTGCTGCTCGTATTTCTCACCAACCCATACAGTACTGTGCAGTATGTATCACACTGCACAAGAGGAATAGTTAATCTCTTTCTAAAGACATATAAGTCTGTTGTGAATGACCTTTCATTAAACTTTGAATTCTAAATTATCAAGGTCACCATTGCTCACAGAAAAGGTAATCAAAGTTTTTATGTCCTTTTCTGTGTAATAATTCTTATCTATTTGCAAACATACTTCACTGTCAGTTACTTTTTAAGATTCCCTTCTGCAAAATAATAACTTAAGGAACTCTCTGTAGATTTTCTCCCTTAAAAAAAAAATTACTGAATGAATGTCAGTCTGTTAAAACGTCAACTTTAGAGGAACTATAAGTAACAAGGACAAGTCTGGAAATGTCTATAGTTTTGGGCATGTTTCTTTTGTTTCTTCATTCATGTTTAAGAAGGCATTGGTACACTTAGCCAGACTGATGAAATCTTAAGGTGATTAAGGTTCAAAGATGGGCCTTCATGACCTTCATGAATTCCCAGGAATGTTATCCAAGACCAAAAATGAAAATATACCAACTGCATTCTGTATCACAGAATATTGCAACATCTCCAACATTTTGAGTAAGTTCTAATGCCTGTTTATAAATAAGAGAAATCTAAATGTTTTTGCTTCGATTTCACCACCACCAGAGAACCCAATCAAGATAAGCTAGTTACAATGCTGTCATTAAACACATGATAAAGTTGAGGTGGTGACGGTACGTTTTCACCCACTAGAGTTAAGGGTTTCTGAAATACCACTGTCTGCACAGATGTGCAGTCCTACTACAAATAAAAAAAAAAAATGGTATTTGCGGTATCTGGAATCCCCCAAGTCATTAACTAAGCGCAACTTAGAATCTAATCTGGGTCTACCTAAAGTGCAATCCTTTTGTGTACACTCCCGCTTACAGGGAACGCCAGCTCCCAGCACCAGGAGTATCAGATTCTTGCAGCATCCATGACACTTGTAAGCATTCAGTGGTCAGAACACCACTACATATCCTTCAAATGACATGGACCAGTGAAGCTGGAAGGTATCTTCACTGAACCAAGCCGGCTGGTATCTCAGCAATCCACCAGGACACGAGCCCCGGCATGCCCCAGGCGGCGTGCAGAGTCTCGACTGAGAAGGAGGTGGTGGGGTTTGCATTTTTTGAAAGTCAACAGTTTTGAATATTGAAATGCAAAAGGTACGCACCAGCTACAACGGGGGCGTCTCAAAAATAGTTTACGCTGCAAAATGCTGGTATTTATTTTCTACTGTAGGATTTCGGAGTGAGGACTGGTTAGACAGCAAGGTGATAAGCACAACAAAACACTAACAGAGTGAGCTAGCCAGAGATAATAAAAGAAGGCACAGCATTTCCAAAGTTAAATCATCAGGATACCCATTACATGAAGATATAAAGAATATTCTGCATTAGTGCTAACAGAGTGTATTACCTAAAATATTTAATGATGTTCTAGTTTTTCTTGCTGCTGTTAAGTCATTAATAATATCCATCTATTAGTTAAAAAGCTGAATAATACAAAGTGTGCTTTTATTTCTGTGCTACCGTGCCACTGTACTTAAGAGATGGTATTATCTTTCCATTTTTGAATTAGATGAAGTATAAACATATTTCAGGAGAAAAATATCCCCCTTCATTTCGGGTATATTTACTGCTCATTAAACTACATGCTGTGCTTTCAGTTCCTAACACCAACCTCATATTGTCAATCTTTGACATCATGATTCATTACCTTATTAAACGAAAATAACTGACATGCCATAGACGTAAGGACTACGAAGTCACAAGTTTCCACGCACGATATGGGCATCACCCAAACATCAGCAATACCAGGGTGTGCACGAACGATGCAGTTCTTTATGAAAATAATTGATTAGACTTAGGACTTAGCTATTACAGCTCAAAACACCCTGAAGATGCAACTCCTTGTTAAGGAGTAACACTGAGGGGGGAATAAATAAAGATGGCACGTAATAATTAATCACAACAGGTTCCCAAGGCGCGGGCTCCCGCTCTCACGGCGAAGCCTCACGTCTCACCCGCCAGCCCCACACGGACCAGGCACGCCGGGAGGCCGGGCAGCGGGGCGGGCCCGCTCTCCACGCGGGGCCGCAGCCGGGGGCCCCACGCCGCGGGAGGGACCCGCGGCCTCGGCCGCTGGCCGAGCCGGCCGCCCCCGAGGAGGCCTCGGCGCGCCCCTGCCCGGGCCGGCTCCCCGCGCAACGCCTGAGGGCGGGAGGGCGCCAACAACCGCCCCCCCCTCACACGCACCCCACCGCCACCCCACCCCCGGCCGCAGCGGCCCCGCCACCGGGCCGAGGGGACGGGGAACGGAAAGTTTGGCGGCGCTGGGGGCGGGCAGCTCGGCCCCGCCGCCCGGGCCGCGGCCGCCCCCCCCCGCCCCGGCCCCCGCGGGGTCCCTGCCCGCCGCCGCCGCCACCCCCCGCGGGGACTCCCGCGGCCAAAAGCCGCCGAGGGGGGCGTCTGTGGGGGAAGGCCCCCTCCCCCCCCCCCCATCCCCTCACCTGCTGGCCAGGCTCTGCCGGCAGTGCTGCCTGAAGGGCATCAGGTGGTAGTTCATGGCGTCCAGCAGCAGCTTCTGGCAGACGGGGTCGGTGCGCATGAAATCCACCGACTGGACCCTCTCCACCAGCTCCGGCGCCGGGATGAGGGCGAAGCGGAGGCGCTTCATCAGGTCCGGGGCGTACTGCATGCGGGTCTCCCGGTCGTGCTCCAGCCAGAGCACGGACATCTGGAAGAGCGCCAGCTCCGACTCGACGGGGGGGGGCAGCGAGTCGAGCAGGGCGCGCATCTCCTCGAAGTTGAGCAGCAGCACGTCCTCCACCAGGTACTTGTTGGCCAGCTTCTTGGTCTCCTCCAGGCCGTGCAGGGCGGCGATCTTGCACACCTGCTTGTAGTTCTGCACCGAGATCTGGTCGTTGAGGAACTGCACGCACAGCTTGGTGACCTGCGGGATGTGCAGGATCTTGCTGACCGACAGCACCTCCTCCACCGTGTCCAGCGAGAGGGTCACGTTGGCCGTGTACAGGTACTCCAGCACCAGCCGCAGCCCGATGGACGAGCAGCCCTGCAGCACCAGGTTGTTGATGGCCCGCGGGCTGGCCAGCAGCTTGTCCTCCGGTGAGGAGGACGGGGTGCCGGGCTCCTCCTGCGGCTGCGGCGGCGGGGGCTCCTTCGGCGGGCCCCCCAGCCCGTCCTGGGCGCCGGGCCCCAGCCCCAGGGCGTGGGGGTGCCCGCCGCTCCCGCCGCCGCTGGAGAAGAGGGATCGGAAGTACTGGGAGCAGGAGGCCAGCACGGCCTTGTGGCAGTGGAACTGCTGGCCCTGGGCCGTCAGGGTCACGTCGCAGAAGAGCTGCTTCCTCCACAGCAGGTTGAGGCCGTGCAGCAGGTTGTCGCTGTGGCTGGGGTCGAAGGTGGAGGTCCTGTCCCCGGATCTGGACATGGCGAGCGGCCGCCGACACACCTGCCTTTTAAACCCTCCTCCAACCTGGGCAGAGGGGTGGGGAGGAGAAGGGGGGGGGGGGGGGTACACACACACGGGACGACACAACAATAAACACAGAGCTTTTAGAGGCCCGGAGGGAGCATCCCGGCCGTGTGTGCGCAGGGGTGGCGGGGGGAGCAGCCGGGGGACGGGCTCCCCTCTGCCCGCCGAGCCTCCCCCCCCCCCCGCCCCGAGCGCGGACGGGCTCGCTCGGAGGGGCCGCAACTTGGGAGGGCTGGAGGAGGTTTATTTTTTTGGCCTTCCCCCCTGCCCCCCCTCACCATACATACACCACCCCTTTCTCCTCCCTCCTCGGTGCAAACCAGGCTGCTCTCCAGGGGAGGAGCGAGGAGGCCGGGGACGTTTTGAAAGCTGAGCCCCCCCCCCCCAAAAAAAAAAAAAAAAAACAAGACCACCAAACACCGAAGCAAGCAATCACATATAAAATAAGCTCCCCCCCCCCGCAAACTCCGCGGTGCCCAGAGAAACTACCAAGTGTCTGAAACTCTGCCGGGAAGGCGAGCAGCCCTGCCGCCCTGCCCGCCGCCAGCCCCCGACCCCCCTCCCGCCCGCTTCGGCAACTCGGCGGCGCCGGGACCCGCTTCGTCCCCGCGAAGCGGGGGGGGCCGGGTGCGGAGTGCCCGGGGCGGGGGCTGGCCGGCACCGAAGTCGAGCCCCCATTCTCCGCCCCAGCGGGGGAGGGGGCGGCGGGGCGGGGGGGGTGTTGCAATACTTCGCACCCCGGGGTAGGCGGGGGGGGGGTGGGCGGGAGAGAGGCGGCAGCCCCGGGCCCGAGGAGCGGCCGTCCGCTGCTGTCCTGCCCGACTCGCTTCTCCTCGCAGCAGACGGTGCCGCTGCCGTAACTCCGGTAACTACGTGAAGTTCAAGTTGGGGGAAGGCCGGGGGGGGGGGGGGGGGGGGGGAGGGCGGGCGGGGAGCAGGGCCCTGCCCGGCGAACCCTCGGTGCGACCGGGCCCCGCTGCACCCCCTCCCCCCAACCTCCCCCCCCCCCCCCCCCAATTCCTCCGACCCCGTTGCCCGGCCCGGGGGGAGGGGGGGGGGGGTCGGCAGGGCAGCCCCGACCTGCGGCCGCACCTGCGGGGGTTGCGCAGCCACCGACCCGCGCTGGCCGCATCCCGCCCCGCCGCCGAGCGCCGCCGCCGCTCTTCCTCCTCCTCCTCCTCCTCCTCCTCAGCGGGATCCCGCCGAGACCTGCTCCTGCCATTGCAGCGCGCTCAGTCGCTCCTCGCCAGCGCTGGGCTTCCTCTGCCTCCCTTCACACCCCCCCCCGTCCCCCCCCCTCCCCCGCCCCATTTATCGGCACAGCAAGGGGCTCCCTCCAGCCGCTTCCCCTGCCCCGGCGCCGCTCAGCCCCGCTCCGCGCCCCGCCGCCGGCTACAGAAACCTCCCGGAGCCTCTCCCTTTAAGTGGACCCGGTCAATCCCCCCCTCCCCACCGCGCACACACAGACATACATACATGCACACACACACACACACACACGCATACATACACACACACTCCTCCTCTTTCTCCCTCCCCTTCTTTCTTCCTCGTTTTGCCCATTTCTTGCAATCGGAGTTTATTCTGCAAACGCGTTCGTTACACAACTGCCCCCCACCCCCCCGCACACACTTCCAGCGCACACACCCGCACACACAGACACCCCTTTCCTCTCCCCCAACAACAAACAAATCAGGAGACACAAGAAAATGCACAGAGACGGTTAGACACAAGGCCAGAAACTTACCTGCTCCACAACCAGCTGCCAAAGTAAAGGTTCACTTAAGCTCCCCCCCAAAAAATCAATTGTCCTTCCTTTTTAAAGGTTTGCTTGCTCCTTCCAAAAAAAAAAAAAAAAAAAAAAAAAAAAAAAGAAAAAGGGGGGGAGAGAAAAGAAAGAAAGAAAAAAAAAAAACCTTCTGGTTCCCAACTCGGAGCAGTCACTCTTTACAATTTATTTTGTCGTACATCATTTGATCACCATGAATTAGCAACAGCAAGAAAATGTACGAGAGAGAGAAGGAGAGAGAGAGAAAGAGAGAGAGAGAGAGAGAGCGCAGAGCTTTCTGCAAGAGAAGAAGAAGAAAAAATGTACGTGTGACAAATTATGCTACCAAGAAACAACACATCATTATCCTTGGGCCTGGGGCTCAGTGAGTCGTAACGAGAGTAATAGGAAATCCACGGTTGGGGAGAGAAACGGTCGTGCATGGCCAGTGGAGAGAGACCATACAGGGGGATGGATGCTGGAGAGACTCGCAAAATTATGGCTCAAGGCTATTGTAAAAATTGTCGAGCGTAAATGACTGCGATTTCAAACATCTTTGGAAGAAAGAAGGGGAAAAAGCGAGGCCCCCCCCCCCCCCCCCCCCCCGCCTCCCTCCCTCTCGCTCTCCCTCTCTCTTCTCTCTCTCTATAAAGAACCGTCAAGTTTTAGTGCGCATTGCTAATTAGTCAATTTCTCTCTGCCTTCACAGGCTGGCGACTTTGCTGCTGAGCTGAAACTGCTAATTTCTGTGACCAGCTTTTTTCTTAGCTGTGATCTGGATGAATGAGTAGCTGTCTCACAGAGATGACAAAAATAAACTCTAATCCCCCCAAAAATTTCCACTACATCTTTCTCATGCATAGATTTATGATCTTCAAGCGCCCTGTGCAATATGCAAACTTTTTGTGTGCGAATGTGTGTGTGTTGCTGGGGGGGGCGGGGGGGGGGGAATAATTCTGTTGTATTCAGGTTGCACAGTATTTGTTTTGTGTCTCTGCTCCCCCCACACACACTGGGTCTGATGGAAATAATGTTTGATTTCAGTACCCAATATATTGTCACCCCCACCCCACCCCCCTTGTATTTATATTATTGCTTTGACAGGATACATCCTCCTTCCTTGCAAGTATGATGAGGCTGGAGGGGAGAGAAAGAAAGTGAGGCCACTAAATGGTGTTAGTGGTAAAACGTTCCCTTTACATTTGTTCCCCTGCACTGTTCAAGATTTATGATCTTGTTTGAAGGCATATTTTCTCTATCGTTTTGTCTGGTTAGACAACCGTCTCTGAACTTCACTGTCAGCTCTTCAACAGATAAGGGTTCAGAAGTCACATTTTTTTTTTTTTTTTTTTATTGGAAGATTAGCATATTGTCAGATTTGTCTTTCGGTTTCGAGACTTTGCAATGCAGAAGCCTGAATCAAATGGCAGAAAAGCAGCTGCTATTTCTCAAATGTAACCTTTCAACTTTCTGCCAGAGCTGATACCCTGGAAACACGCACAGCACAGCTCATAGGTTGGGGCTTTGTTTTGGTTTTTGCTCCCTTATGGTTTTAAGAAGCAGAAGGAATTCTCGTTGTAGGCATTTTGAGCTTTTTCTTTCCACCAAGGGGCATTTTGGTAGAGGACATAGTCACCACACTTTATCTCATGATATATTGCACCCTCACATTTATAGCTCTGTTCTGTCGTCAAACCTCCAATTGTCAAAAAAAAAAAAAAAAAAAAAAAAAAAAGGAAAAGAAGAAAAAGGTAGAATGTATGCCCTTGAATGAAATGCTCATGAAGGGAGACTGGAGCGAGCACTTACAGAAAGTTTTACCTGGTGTGAAATCGACGAGCCCCATCCCCTTTCCCAGATAATACTCAGGCTCTCCTTAATTAAAATACACACCAGGAGTGGGACTCTGATTGCCAGGTCTCATGGTCTTTCTCTTTGACTTGGCTAAGGATGCCAGTGCATTTACAGAGCTGGAGTCAGATTGCTCAGGAATGCAAAGGACTGGAACTGAAAGGCATCACGGCAGTTTTTGCTTTTATTTATTTTCTGGTGACCTTAAAAGAAGAAGTTCTGTCATACCTTTCTGGTTTTCTTCACCATATAGCTCCCTTCCTCCTCCCTTGGACATCAATTACTTCTGCAAGAAATTACCAAGAGAAATTAGGCAGCTGGTGTTTTAGGGCATGGTGTTCTTCCCAAAAGAATAATGACACCATCATATGCCACTTCTAAAACCATTTTCATTGTTTTGCTCCCACTGTTCTTCCCCTTCCTCCCAGTTGTACCCTGCTGGCCACCCAGATTTTGATTCTGTTCAGGTGAAGAGAAACATGAGTTATAAGATGCTTCCATTTCAATAGTATCTGGTGTCTTCAGTGATGCGTGTTGTCTCCCAACTGTAGTAGATGGGAAGAACAATTTTTACATCATTGTGCTGCTGAACTTTACTGCTGTAATGGCTGTAAATAATCCCCATGGGGGTTTGTATCAGTTTTCAGTGACTGATGTGTCAGACACTCTTATACCATTGTAAGCTGCCAAAATACCTCTATGCCAATGTGTAGCAAGTTTCTGAGACTAGCATACTGGTATGTTTTGTTCATTAGTGAAAAGATCTGGTTAATTTTTATTTAACTTTGCTACACTAACTGAAGTTGAAATAAAGTTCAGTCTTACTTATGTATTTGAACTGTGGTCACTTATGAATTACATTAGACAAATATTTCCAAAAGTCCACGGTATGGTATTTTCTAAATGGACTTGCACACTTTTGAAGGGAGACTTCAAAGTTTCTAACTCTCTTGGATGCTTTTCAAAATTTTACACATTTTATCTGCAAAGTAGAAAATTAAAGTTCATCTCTTACAAATGGCAGCTGTCTGCAGAAAATACTGTGTGTTTCCTTTCATCTGCAGTTACTTCTAGACCTGCACCATGTAAAATTACCTGGTTTTTGATTTGGAGCAAAACTAGATGTACTTGCCACATGGTTTAAATAGCGACTTCATGTCTAGTTTATAAGCCTAAAGCCATCACAGACTTCAGGGAAACCACTGGGAGTGAAGAACGTCTCCCCCAAGGCACTGAACACGTACTAACTCCCAAGCCTTCCCTATTGTGAGTACAGGGCTCTATCCATAAGCAGAATTTCCAGAGAACAGCAGGCAGTATCCCATGGTTTCATCTTTTCAAAGCCAAAGGTTCGTAGATGTCATGCTTTTACTTGATTTCCTTTAGCTCATCCGTTTCCATCTCTGCAGACCTCTCAACTTACTGAAGCCTCATTGCAGAGACTTGTAGTAGGGAGGTCAATACTGCACAAGGAACCGAGTCACATCTTGCAACTTAAGAAGTCCTCATGCAGAGGAGGCCTTCATCAAGACAGTATAAGGCATTGTCATTAAAATCCAAGGAAACAAACTTGGTACATAAGCAAGGTAAATACTTTGCAGTAAGAGTAATTATATAAAAAAGAGAAATTTAGAACTCCTTTCTTTTCTGTGCTTGTAATATGAAACATACCCCTGCACAACTGATGTTTTGGGATTTTTTTGCATATTTTGTTGTTGCAAACAAAACACACTGATATACTGGCACAGCTCAGAAATTAAGTTACATGCACAGTATCTTAATTATTAAGAATAAGTATCAATTCTGAATACCTGCCTCTTTGTCATTGATACTGCTGTCAGAAACAGAGTTTCAGCTGCCCCCGCTGTTTGAGACACAGAAGTTGCCTATGAGCATGTTGTCTGGCCTGCTGAACTCTCTCAACAGTCTACATTTCTGCCACTGTTGCATTTCAAAGGGTAGAACAGAGATGATAGTGCTCACCGGAGTCACCTTTATGTGGATGGGATCCCTCACCTCAGGAAAAGAAAGTTCTCTTGGGAGCCTTCCAGATGGGTAAAGACTAGAGGTAAGCTGGATCGGTTTTGTTGGGCAACATGCCATACCAGTTGTTTGGACAGATCTGATAACATGGGTCCCTTTTGCACTATGCACAAGCACTATGCAAATAGATGAGCAACAGCAGTATTGGGTGTTACCAATAACGTTGCTACTCATGCTGAAGATTGTTGTATAATCCATCCTGAAGTTTTTGACGTGGAAGCTTGTAGGCTCACTCTTCTGAAGGTAGACCTGGCATCACAGCCTCACTGTTCCTGGAGTACAGATGAACTACTTCACTTCATCCATTGCCAGGTAGTCTCAGCCTAGGAGTAGGGCAGGAGTGGAAGATTTCTGGAGGTTGCAGCGGTGGTTGTTAGATCCAGGGCCCATGAGCCTGGACGTCTGGATTCCCACAGTGGTTGTACCTACACTGGCTTGTGCGCTTCGGGGTTAGGGCCTGAGAACCATACAAAGCTCACTGGTGCCTTGTTGTTCCCTGAGGAGGCCCTTTCCCTGGAAACTGAGATGTGAGGCATTGCAAGGAGCTGGGAGGGAGAGAGATCTGAAATCAAAAGTTTTCTTGGGTCTAATAATATAGATGGTAACAACCTTGACCCAGGTGCATCCTTTAATATCTCTGTGCTTCAGTTAACAAATGCTAAAAAGGGTTTTCATTAGTGTGGTCCAAGGCTCTCCCAGCTTGTGGTCCATTGGACCTGCTGAGCACATCTGCCCAGCTCCAACCCCAGCTGGGTATTTTTTGAATGCTACTATTGTGCTTGCTATGCTAGTCGCTGCTGCAACTGTGTGGCTCTAGGGACTGTCACAACTGGCCCCCGAGGTGTCACAAGCATCCCGATCACCTGTGTTTTGTCCTGGTTAATCCATGTTTGCCCAGTGCTTTGAGATTCCTCCAGGAATACTGACTGATTTTGTTTATATACACAGGCATATTGAGAAGTATTGTTTCTGTGCCTGAATGTATACAGAATGGAAATTTTTCTGTAACAAAGAGTCATAATGCCATTAAGTATTCAGACTTTTGCCCTGCTTACCCCAAGCTCTGATGGGAGTGGTCTGGGAGCTGCTAAATAGGGCTCTAAATGAGTGATCCTAAGAGCACCAAAAAACAAACCGTTTTTCCTCCTCTCACAGTCCCCAAAAAGGCAATAGGGTAAACTACATAAAAAATAAAAAAGTCATTCAATGCAATGCTGTGCAATCAAGATGACATGAATAAAGTTCATGGAAAACCACTAGCTGCTGAAAAATCAAAATATAAGGTATTGCCTCTGAAAGCGTTATTAAAATAACTTTGGGGGGGCAGAACTCAGAACTGTTAAAAGAAGCAGCTAAGCTTGGGGAAATTGCAATCTAAAAGCAAGGTGGATTAAGCAAATCCTTCTGTACAGAACCATGCTACAACCTAGGAACCTTCTAACCATCACTCGGAAAAGCTTACGCTCCGGGACTCGATTTTCAGGCACATAATACGAGCTTTAGTGATTGTGTCTGCACCATACTCCCAATTAAGGGATACTTTCTTGTGCTTAAGTCCATTTCTGTTCAGGAAAGCATTTAAGCATTTCTTAAAGCATATCCTTAAGTGCTCTCTTGAAAGGGAATGCTTTCCTGATGTGGGACATATGTCTGCATTTACCATTCAGTTTGGCTGAATTCTCCCAGCCTGGTGAACACAGGACTCATTGCAAATCTAGGAGGAGGATACGTTGGTGGCAAATAACACCATGTTTTCTCTAAAGTCACAGTCAAGCTTTGAAAGGGGCCATCTCCAAGTGGGAGAGTGCTTCACCCCAGTTGCTTGGTTTCTTGAGGCAGCATTTTGAAACACACAGGGGAAGGGGTGAGCTTCAGAGCAATGGGAACTAGCTGGATTGCAGTAGCTAAATTTAGAGTACATTTTTGTACTGAAGTAAAGCAT